TACCATGCCTCTAGCTCCTTTAACTGCCAGCAGGGATTCTTTGGGTGTTTTGGGCTGACCATTTTTCTCATTGATCTTAATTTTGTGCAAAAAGACAGTGCTTAGATCAGTTCATAGCAAATGGCCCTGAGCCAGCAATGCACAAGTGTGCAGAGGGTAGCAGTCATTTAAAATTGGTTTCACAAAAGTTCTTCTCAGCAAGAGACAGCAAATAGCTGAGAGAGGAAACCCACTTGTACCATTGGCCTGCGTGCCTTGCCCCTGCACAAAGTTCATCCAGATGAGTCAGATTATCAGTTCAGACAGCAAGAAGATAAACAGTGTCTGTCAGAGGTTAGCAATAATGCAGGTATTGGTGAGCAGCTGATGTTTGCAGTGTAAATGGTTTAGTGGCAGTCTGTCCTGGTACCTGTGGGAAATCTTGTGTGGAAAGAGGGAGGCATGAAAACTGCCTTGTAAGAGGGAAGTAGAGAAGGAAATTACATTCCTGTTCTGAAAGCATATTTCTGATCCTCTTCTTCTCCCCTTGCAGCCGAGCTCACCTCCGCCTGTGTCTAGAACGCTTAAAAGTTCTGATACCACTAGGACCAGACTGCACCAGGCACACAACTCTTGGGCTGCTCAACAAAGCCAAAGCACATATCAAGGTAAGAGCTGCTTTTCCCAGCTGCTTTCAGTCTGGGCTGTTGGGAACTGCAATTCAATCGCTCACTCTTGCTGCCTAGAAGTAACTCTGTTGAAGGAGACTAACACCTTTTTTTTTTTTTTTTTTTAATTTAAAAAGAAACAAAACAAAACAAAGTATCACAAAAAAAAAAAAAAACAAACCAAGCAAGCCTTTCCCCCTTGGTTAAACATTTATCATTGCTACAAGCCACATTGTTATAAGAGTCCATAATGAACTCCGTTGAGTACGGAAATGATTGATTTGGAGAGCAGGCGTCTTGTTCTGTATTGTGATCATTTGTTGACAGCCACATCTCTTTAAACATACCTACTATTGAATGACTGCATTTTGATGGGAAATGCAGCTTTTTTCTGATATGCTAATGAATTTCCACTGTCAAAGCATTAGCACAAACCACAAGAGTATGAGACAGGGTTGGCTTGCTGGGGTTTCATGTGTGAACCTGCCAGCTAGCCCAGCACTCCTCTAGATTCACTTTTGGCAAAGTGAAGTACTAAGGGAAAATGCAGCATTGTCAGTAGCTGGAAGAGGCGGAAATACTTTGTTGCAGGTCAGGTTAGCAGGAGGGAGGGTGGGTGGTAAAGAAGGAAAAACCACTGCCAAAGGGACAGAGTTAGCCTGAAGTGACTCTTCCTTATGCAATGTGGTTGTCGTAGGAAACAAAGAACAGTGCCCCGGTAGATTTCCCAGCTGTGATCAAAGAAATCTGTAGTAGGTTATATGAATCACTTACTGAATAGAAAACTGTTTCTGAGAAATCCTACTAAACCATGCAGCAAGGAACACGGAACTCCCAGGGCACGTTTTTATGTTACAGCAGATCATAACAAACCCTGAATTCATTTGGTTAAGGGAATCGAGGCCACTTTGTGGACAAATTTGGTAATGCAAGTGCATGAACCCATGTAGAATGGCCCACAAACTGCTACAATTCAAATTGCTTGCCCTGGAGAGAGACTGTCCTCAGAGACTTTTTATACTAATGTGTGTGCATGTGTGTGTGTATATATATATATAATATATATACTAGTATATATTCATACTAATGTGTATATGATTTATCAGGACTTGGGAGGTGGAAAATATGTGAGGAGATGGCACTGTTGTTGGAAACTGCAAAGCAGTTTGGTTCAGGGCTCTTGCAGCTTAAATCCTTCTGGGCCCTGGGAAGGTGTAAGCAAAGCAGGTGGCTGGGCAGTGGAGGTAGGAGGGGAAAAAAGGATGAAACTAATTACTGAGTCATATTTGATCATGTCAGAAACTTGAAGAGGCTGAGAGGAGAAGCCAACACCAGCTTGAGAATCTGGAACGAGAACAAAGATTCCTAAAGAGAAGACTGGAACAATTACAGGGTCCTCAGGAGATAGAGCGAATACGAATGGACAGCATTGGATCTACCATTTCCTCGGATCGCTCGGACTCGGAGCGAGGTGGGTGTCTCTGAACTAGCACTGCATCCCCAGGACTCTGCAAAGTGAGGGCATGAGATTCATCCATTTCTTGTCTCGGCTACCCCCTTTTTATGGACTTTTTATGGTATTTAGGCTACTGATTTTGCTCACAGACATGCACATACGCACACACTGACACACATATATATGAAGATTTTAGTATTTCGCACGAGTTCCAATTAAATCTGGAAGAAGTGTTGTTACTGTCAACTTGAGCTGATTTCTGTGGTGTTTAAGGTGACCTGTTTCTCTTAAAAGCTCTCCAAAATGCCAAAGCATTAGTTAGGAAAAATAATGTGATCACAAGACAGTAGCTAAATACTTGATGGTAAAGTTGAGCTATCGGTTGTGCTCTTTGGTCAACTGAATCTCTTGGCAACAGAGAGAGGTGAATTTAAGAAGATCCTAGTGGGACTGGAATGGATGTTGCAAAGCAGAATCCAGCTTCTCATTCTGGCTTTGGGATATGGTTATAACTGAGCAAACAGAACCAAGCAGATTGCCTCTTAAAATTCCTGAAGTCATTCTACACACACACATATGCCTTTTTTTTTTTAAGTTTCCTATAGAATTAATCTCCTCAGTTAAAACTGGATAGAGATGATCTGAATGGCTAACTGAATACAGATGATTTTCTTTTTTAAAAATATCTCTGCTGTGGATGGATATTTAGGCACACTACGTGGTTTGGTATTTACTGACAGCCCCAAAGATGCTGTATAATTTGGGTGTGAGTCTGTAGTTTAAAAAAAAAAAAATCCTTTTGGAAAATTCCTAAACAGTATGGGAACCAAGATATTTGGTTAACTAGATTTCTGCTTTCTAAGTCTTTCTTAAAAATAAGATGTGTGTTCTAAAGTCTACTGAGTGTCTCTGAGAGTAACCCAGATCCCCGTGGTTATGCATTGTAATGCCCTGTATGAGCAGTCCCAGCTTTGGCAACGTAATACCAAGCAAGTATCATGTTTTGGGGTAAATTCATGCTCCATTTTCTCTGTTGCCCGCTGTTTATCTGTTTGTTTCCAACACTGGGGTAGCAAAGTGCCAAAGAAAGGTAGCGGGACAAATTCAGTGTGTGGGGTGGCCCACCTATCCTGACAGCGTGGCCTGCATGCTGGAGGAGCCAAACCCCTTTGCCAAGTCCCTAAGAAAAATTCCAAGCTGGTATCTAGTCTTTCTATAAATCATGTCCACAGCGCATCCCTTTCCAGGGAGAACACTGAAAGTCTTCCTGCTGGACTGCTGCTTCATCCCTGACCGGGGGAGCCCCAGCAGCTCACTGACTTGAAGGGAGAAGTTGGGTCTGTGGTGCTAACCTGTGTGCGTTTCTCTCCTTTTCCTTTTCAGAAGAGATTGAAGTGGACGTTGAAAGCACAGAGTTCTCCCATGGAGAAGTGGACAATATCAGCACAACCAGCATCAGTGACATTGATGATCACAGCAGCTTGCAGAGTATTGGGAGTGACGAAGGTTACTCCAGCGCCAGTGTCAAGCTCTCGTTTGCTTCCTAGAACCAAGTGAGACAACAGTGCAGGGCGAATGATTTCACTGGGGTGATCAAACTGGGTCTTAGATGCCAGTATCCTCTTTCAGAAATGACACATTGACAGCTAGTCTTGAAGAGACCTGTATATAAAGCTTTTGGGGTAAGGGAAGCCTCCACAGAAACCCACATGTGTTTATTTGGTCATGCAACCAATCCTAATTCCTGCTGGCAAAAAGTTAGACCAAACACTAGTCCCTTTGAAGTCAGTGAAATCCGTTTGTTTCTGTGGGACCTGGATCTAGACCTTAGTGATGAAATACTTTGTTTTGAATTTATTTGTTTGAAAGAGGATACTAGAGACTCATCCCTCTCTTTCTGTCATGAGATCTGAGAAATGTCAGAATTTCTTATATTGCATTCAGGTTGAGCAACCTAGTTTAGGCCCTTCTGGAAAGCTTCTGTGGTCCTAAAAGAACCGTGTCCTACAGTTTATCACAATCCAATGCTGTTGTAATGTACTAGGAAATCTAAGGTGGCTTACATAGCCTCAGAATAACAATGACAATAATGATTTAAGATCTCATTCTGTGCCCAGAGAGAGAGGGGAAGCAGAGAGAGATGTTCAGGAGAGAACACCATTCAGCTCAGCTTTCTGTTGGACATCATTTAAAAAGCAAGTACCTCTGATGCGTGGCTAAAGCAAGAGGTACACACTTGTAATCTACCAGCACATCGTGGGCTGTGTCATGCCTCAGGCTGTGACACTGACAGCAGATCTCCCGGTAGATGCGTGCTCATACGCAGGCACAAAACCAGCTGAGGACAGAAAGAAACCAGCACATACGAGAGGTGATATGCCAGAAAGTCATGCCCAGATACTGAGCCACTATGACCTTTTTATTTGAAGAGATTTTTTGATAAACATTTGTAAATGTGTTGGGAGGGAAAACACCCCAAGTCTGATGCGTCTTTTTAGAGCTTGTCCATATGAAACCTTAGATGTCTTTTATATGAATTTATGCCATGAAAAGATCTCTGTTTTGATGAAGCACTTGACCCAATGAAATGCAAAGATGCTTTTTGCCATGCACACAATGGATGAAGGCTGTGCTTGCTGGAAGAGGCCAGGTTTGGTGGGGGTTTCTTCGGTTTTCTTTTTAGAATCATTCCCTTTGCTGACTTTTGAAGTTCCAGTCCAGTAGTTAACCTAGTTAAGCTCAGCACGTCTCTCATGTTAATGTAATGTTTTGACTGCACGTCCTGTTCCCAAGGGCCTTGCCATCTTATCTGTGCAGGTGCTGTTAAGAGCTGTTATAGCAAATGTTTTCTAATTTTCTCGGAGACGAGCATTCTAACCTGCACTTTGAGGGCTTTGCTTTTTTATTTTTGTCTTTTTAATGGCCAGAATTATTTTGTTTTCCAAGTTTTAAAAACCTTAATAGAGTCCTCACCTATGGCATTGTTTGAAACTTTGTATATCCTTAAGTAATTTAACTACCCCTCGTTACTAAGAAAAAAAAAGAGGAAAAAATGCTTTATAAAATTCATAACTTATTGCTGATTTGAATGGGTTGTTAATTTCAGTCCTTTAGATTTTATTTTATTGTTTTAGGTAGGGCTGGGCAAAAAGAGGTAAAATAAAATAAAAAAATAAAGACAACCATATTTAGCAGTGCAGTGGAATTGTGTTTAAATGTTAGCATATGGTCCCCATTAAAGTAGCACTTTAACGCCATTAAACATTTCTGTATCTGAAGTGAGTCGTGTTCTTCCATCCTGGTCACTCGTATCACTTTAGCCGACTCTTTGTTCTTGTGCCCTTCGATCCTGCAATGAGAAGATCCTGAGCCAGTCTGCTGTAGACTTTTGCATTATGATAAGTTGCTTGTGTTTAAATATTCTGATGTTTCCCCCACTCTCCCCCGCAATGTGTCATCCCCTGTAAGAGGCGCAGCACACATGCTTGAGTAGAGAAGTAATCTTTCCATGGCTGTAATGAACAGTTTATGTTTGGTTTTGGTTTTTAAAATTAATTTGCTTACTAAGTCTGGATCAGGTTGCTGTTGTTAAATCTGTTTTCACTTGTGTGTATGTAATACAGTGGCTCAGTACCTCTGTTCTTACTCCTTCTGGGCGGTGACCTGGCGGGAGCAGGAGTCTGCCACAGACTGAGTTGAGCTCTGGGTCAACAAATGGGGCCTGAGGGTTTTCAAAGAAGAAATGCTGCTTGGATTTATGCTTGGGGTACATATAATCTCTGGATGACACAAGGTTTGGGACAGTCTTCTGAGTGGTGAGAAGTGGAAACTTCAGCTCTAGCAAGGCCTTATTTATTTATTCATTATTATTCTCCTTAAAAGTATTGACCATTGGCAGCCCTGGTGCTGAACGGTTGAATACCAGTGGGATTTATTTATTTATGACCCCTTTTCTGTAGCTGTCCCAGCACCTCCTCCTTCCTGTTACTCCTGTTTGTTTTAAATGGCCACTTGGGAAAGAAATATCACAGCTGAGAAATACTGAAGTTCAAGGGGTGGAGAATGGCTTGGCTCTCCTCCTTGGTATAAAACATGGTTGGAATAAATGTGTCTGAAATGTTTGCTTGTATGCTCCAGGGCCAGTTTGGTATCTCCTACCTTTTCTAGCATTGTGGACTCAAAGGGGTCTTGATATCAGGAGAAAATACAATGGGGAAAATATAGCAGGAGGTGAGCTTCCATTGCTAGCCACCTGCCTGACCACTCAACTAGCAGCAGTGCTCTAGCCAGGAAGAGGATCAGGGATAAAAGAAAATTAAGAGCCTTTATAATAACTGCTAGACGTGGGGTTGGTTGCTCCGGTACTGGGGGGTTCTTTGTGGCAGGTCTGAGCAGATTTCAGCTAGAGTTTGGATAGTTTCTCATGTGATGGAAACATTTCTTTGTTGGTTGTCCTCCACCACTCAGTTACTGCTTTGTGGACTCTGGCCTTTGCTGTGTGCTTGTACCTCACACGGCCCGGCCTGTCACACTCCTCACATCGCCCTTCGTTGGTCTGGTCTGTTGGGTCGAAAAGCTTAAGATGACTAATTTGCTTAGAGAAGTTGCTATAAGTTACTTCTAGATGATTGTACAGATCAGTACATATGGTTATGCAAGACATCAGTTAGATGATCATAATAGTTCCTTTTGCTTAAAAATGCATTAATTTCCTGAATTGTCCCTGTTGTAGCAAGCCAGAATAGTCCCATGTGCCAGATCTGCTTTAAGGTCATGTTATTTTTCAAAGTACCATCAAAGTTCCTACTAGCCACCCTGAAATCTTGTAAAAGAGAGTGATTATCCAAAGGTGCAGATCCAAACCCTTGAGGGTTAAGTCTCTCTTACCCTTTGGAAGCTGAGATGGTCCCTCACACTACGGAACTCTAAGCAGTCCAGTAAGTCAGATTTACTGGTTTTCCTCAGAAAAGTGTTCATAGAAGCTTACTGGCTGTTTTGTCCAAGCTCTGTCCTTAAAAAAAAAAAAAAAAAGGGAAAGTAGAGTTATTTTCATTCACCCCAAAATAGAAGACACTGAAAGTATGTTGCTGTTTGGGTTCCCAACTGAAGCATTTTTTAATCCACAACTTTGTGGGTTTTGTGTTGCCTCTGAGGCCTCGTTTTGCTCCTCTGCAACTAGGGAGTAAAGTGAAACACTTCACTCCTGGTCGTTTCCTCTGTGGCCCTAGGTTTTGCCCACTTCATTAACTCTGATTTCATCCAGAATACCACTTATTCTCACCACACAGTAATTTGGGCATGGAATCACATTTAATTTTCATCTTTGCAAAACTGCGGGAGGTGGTTTTATGGTGTTCTTTATGGGTGCTACTGTTTTTCTGCTTTGTGTTTGTAGAGTAACAGAAGTCCTAAATCTATTATCTGCTTAATTTTACAAGAATACGGTGACTTTTTCTGCAGCAACAGGATTGGATGTGCTTTCCTTAGGCAACTTGCCCACGCAGCAGACACATGCACGCACACGCACAGCTCCCTCGTAAGCTCGTTCTGTCAAGTCCTCCCTCTGCAAATTAGATCCCAGGTGGGCCCTTCTGCTATGGACAAACCCATTAAAAAGACCATCCAGCATTTTCCTTCTTTTGACAGAAGTGTATTACAGTATGTCATCTCGTGTCTGCAGACAAGGTGCAGGTGACTATCTGGCTGCATTTGTCATGGTTATCCTGTGGCGAGTTGTCACTTGAAGGTCATTTTAATGTCCAGTCCATTAGAGGCATGTCAGTGACAAAGGTGCTGTCAAATCCGGCTGTCTCAAGAAATCTGTAGGTCAGTAGAAATGGGATTAAGTATACAGACCTATAATTTTCCTGGTTTTGTGGTTGTGTTTTCCTTTTGTTTGTTTGCTACCATCTCTTTCTGGCCTGTGAGCTCCAGCCTCCTGCTTTTCTACTCTTTGTTCTCTTGTACTTGCTGCTCCTTGTTTGTAGCCTTTCTGTGTTGCTCTGTTGAAATGGATGAAACATTTGGCTTCAGTGGAAGTAGGATCCATTGTGTGCAATAAATGAAGATAGTTTGTGTTTGGTTTTTTTTTTGTTTTTTTTTTTTCCCCAGGATCATAAGCTTTTCTCGTTGCATACTTCCTGGCACTGACCATGTGTCATTGGAAAGAGAAATTGGGGTCGCTTCCTGGAAGAGAATGGTAAAAACCAGGACTTCAACCTGAGGTTAGGGGGGTGATAATATTAATAATGAAAAATAAGTCTATAAATAACAGAATGAAGTCTGATGTGTTCTCCAGGGGCTTTGTCCTGTGGACAGATTCTCTGGTGAGTGATATATTCTGTGACCTGATAGTGACTGGAACTCCCCTGCATCCATGATACAGTCTCTGGATTGTCCTGTGGGACTCCCAGGAAGAGGAGTGTGTCCTCCTTCCTCTCTGTTCACCAATCTGCACAAAAGACCTAGAAAATACTGATGTGCTGTCAAATTTGCTTGAAATTGGCCAGCAGATCTGAGTGATGTTTGGGAGGATAAACACGGGAGGAGAGTGGTTATCTGCATACACAATGCTTTCCTTTGGAGTGACCCGTTAGAGAGAGACAGGTTGTTCAATTGGGGATAAAACGTCAGCACTTACCCCTGCTTCTCTGCTCATTTCCTCCCAAAAAGAGGACTGATCCTTTAATTGTTAGGCAGAAGCAGAAATAAGGAGTCTGTGGGTATTGGTACTGTGGCTGTGGTACTAAATAAGTAGTATTGAGGTTTATGTTCAGGGTGTTGCTGTGTTTGATTAAAACTAAAGAGTTGCTTCATAAGGAGGGGCACTCGTGTTGAGGTCCCTTCAAAAATATCGAGGATCAGGAATTGCTGAGGCACCTCTGGGAAGGGTGGATGTGTCCCGTGAGGTGTGGTCATACAGACCTGAACAACTGAGCCACACTGCCACTGGCCTGACTGATGCAGCTCAAAGCTGTGAAGTGTCATTTTCTTTTGGAAAGATCTTCAATGTTAACCATGCTGTAAGGGCTGTGGGTAATATTTTGATTTATTTTTACCACACTGGAAGAAATCAGCCCCTTAGTTTGTAGTACCCCAGTGAGGCGCAGAGCAAGCTGGTGGGGTGAGCAGGTTAATTTGACCTTTAACAAGTAATTCAGCATCTTGGCTTGTAGTCTGCTGTGCTGCAGAGGACTGATGTTGGTCTTCAGCCGGTCAAGGGAAGGCAGCCAGCTGCTGTATGTTCCTGGGGAGCACAGGGTGGCCCCGGCCAGCTCTTTTAAGACCATGAAGAGCATTCACATACTGGAAAGGTGGTGATTCGGAGAAATCGGGCAGACAGGAACGATGAGTAAGTGGCTCTGAGCACTAGTAATAATGCTAATCTCCCCTCCGGGGATGCTCCTGGGTTGGGATTTTCTGCAGTAAGGTCCCCTGGGATGTTTCGTCACACAGATCTGACTGTAGCAGGTATGGGGCTGGAGGGCACTGGCATTGCCTTCCAACAGGCAATAGCTCCAGTGTGCCTCCTCCACGAGATGAGAGTTAGAGGGCTGGTTTGACAGAAGACAGACTGAGCATTCATCTGTTCTACCCCGCTGTGATTCCTGCTGAAAGAAATGCTAGTGAGCCAGGAGGCTACGCCATGTGTATGCAGTCAGCTTTGGGCCAAATTCACCCCTTCCTTAAGGTCTCATCGGGGTCATGAATGTTGCAGCAGGGCTGCATTTCAGCAGGGATTAATTTTGTTCTTGAAGGAAATTCCAGCAAAGCAGATAAACCATCAAGGAATTTAAAGCATTTTATGGTGGCTTTAACATTGTGGTTGCTAGTCAGAATATACACAGACCTAGTTCATAACTTGACTTGGCTAACAGTACTCTAAGATAGTGCTCAGTTTAGCTAAGGCTAGGAAATTCTTTTCTCTTTTCAAAAATACTTGTCTCAAAACAATTCATTGTTTTGGATCTCCTCCTGGGAGGCTTGATGGGGAAATATAAAAAGCTCTTTCCTCTCCTGGAGTGGTGAACAACTGTACAAAATAGAACTCGTCGCCCTAGGGAATACCTGTTCAGCAGGTCTGCTAAAAATGTAAGGCTTAGAACTTAGCATCACTTGTATCCCTCAGAGAGCGTCTCTCTGGGAAGTAACATCACCTTTCAGTCCAGGTGAGAGCAAGACGTTTTCTGTCAGCGTCCAGCGTGGGAAACCTTCACAGTTCTGTACGGACCAAGGAAGTGTTGTGAGTTCAATGTAGAGGGGTAATTGCTTTACATGGGGAAATAACGTGAGCGCTTTTGTGCAGCAGAGCCTTCAGCTGAAGACCAGAGTTTTGACGGGTCGGTGCCATTGCTTAGTCAGGTTGTATGTTAGCAGGTCACTAGCTTGGGTATATGGCAGGGGTATTTACCATAATAGTCCTGATGCAAACATCCTTCCTTATTTTGCAATCCAAGTGAAGCTTTGTAGGGAGCAGATAAAGACTGGACAAACTGCAACGGACAGAGCAGCACCAGTTGCAAGGTAGCAATCCTTCTCTTGGGCCTGGCCCAAGAATGGTCTCTGTAATCCCAAGATTAGTGTAACTGTTGAGAGACATGCAAGTGGTGGTTATTTCACAAAAAACTGCCACAGAGCTGATGCAGGTGAGTGGAGCATCAATGGGTAGTACAGACGTTTGCTATTGGTTTTGCCTTCTAAACATCTCCAGCATTGAATTGCAGTCTTCTAAGCTAAAGTACTTTTTTGTATTTACCAACATCTGAGACCAAGCATCTGCAGAAATGTCACAACATTCACTCTGGCATAATAGAAAGCAAGAGAAATAGATTGCCACAACCATGACAATTCAAAGTTGCTACTCTTAAGACTGTTCTAAATACTTAAACTGACTGGAGCAGTCCCAGATTGGAATCAGATTTGTGCTGGTTTAATTTCCACAATAGATTATAATTTGTACAAGATTAAGGCTGTAGTAAACCATTTCCTGTAATAACTTAAAGAGGAAACATATTGCCCATACTGGTCATCTTGCACAGTATCCTTATCTGAAAGGAACAAATCTGTGTTCTCTAACAAATATCTTTTCCATGATGGCTCTAGCTTAGTGGTTTTACACTCTTTACTTTTACACTTAATTTACGTTTCCTCTATCATTTCGGTATTTCCAAGTTCTGTCTGCTCTATAGTACATTTGGTAGCACAGGGGCAGGTACTTATTCTGCTTGCTGAGAGGCCCAGAAGTCACTGCACAGCATGAGTTCTGAAAAATCAGCTTTCTTACTGGTTAGAGCAGCTAATAAAAGTGGGAAATAAATTATGAAAAAAAAAAATACCAAAACGCTTTCAGCCACAAATTTAAGGTCACATCAGCATTTGTAAAATAAGGAACTTTTGGGGTTTTTTGGTGATTACCAGCATTGCTTAACTCATGATGGATTTATTTTTCCTATGTGAATGTCTCAAGACACCTTACCAAGGCAGTGTTCCAAAGCCAGACTACACACCAACTGGCCCCATCCTGTAGATGAAGAAACAGCATCAAAATCCAGTGGCACAAGGAATTGCTGTGTGGCCAGGATGGCAGTTTTGGTGGCATTTTTATTTATACAAGTTGTCTCCAAAGTGTTCTCTCTTCCATAGATCAACCACCCCAGCCACAGTGGTATCACTGTGTCACTACCTATTCCAGGTAAGGCATTTAAGAAAAGTTACGTTACCAAAACTTTCTTTCAGCATTTTGTTGCAGTGGCCAACAGAAGAACTACAGCTAAGTACATTAAGCAACCCATGTTCTAAGAGGTGAGAATAAGTTACTCAAAGGAAATATACTGGTTTTGCTAAATTTTTTTTTTTTTAAAAGGCTCAGCAAAATTGAAGTCCATGAGACCAAATGGTTTTAACTTGGGCTGGAAAGTCTGTTACCATATGGGAGGCTCACACACCCGTTGCAGTCTGACTCACTGTACCTTAAATTCTCTTTGGGACTAGTGAACAAATGGTCCTGTGATAAATACAATAAATGGTCTTTTACATCAAAAGATGGGCAAATGTAATGCATGTCAGGTATGGATTAAGTCTATTTCTCCAAAGACTTTATTTTTTTTTTTTTTAAAGAACAGGTAGAGCCTACTTTAGTGTGTTTCAGGACTCACCTGTTTAACATCACTGCTGAGACTTGTCCCCGCAGGGTGCGGGCTGCAGTACAAGCTCCCTTTCTAAAAAGCAGTAGGGTTGGATTACTTTCAATTAAGATCTTTCTAAGCAAAAGAAAATTTAACCCCCTGCTACCCGTGAAGCTGAGGAATTAGGCAACATCTACTTCATCTTGCAGTGAGAGTGAAATACTTTTGATTCACTTCTGAGTGTTTACCTTCTGCCCAGCAGATTCTATACTTACTGTTTTCCTGATCCTTTACTGCCCCCCTACCAGGTATACTTTCACTTTGTCAAATATATCCAGCAGATTTTAAACACTTTATTTAATAAAAGTTAAACATACAAAACTGAAATTAACACACTTTGTATTCATAAAAATCACCTTCTCCCATTATAGGGAAAACCTTTTTCTATGTATGGATTCTAAACTACCAGTTGTAGAGTTTAGCTTGAGTTGTGACTCAGGTAATTGATGGACATTTCCACCAATCAGTGCATCAACAATTGCTGACGTGACCTGATCTAGTTAACAAATTACAAAATGAGCTACATTAACATAATATACAGGGAAATAATGGTCAGGGTTAATGGACAAGAAACACCCTTTAATTATTTAATGGGGGAAATAGCTGATGTACTCTTGTCCATTAACTCAGCCCTAGATTTTACAAAAATAATATCTACATTGTATACAGGGCTACCCATTAACTTCTTTAACACATTACGGGTTCAGAGATGGCACCACTACCGTAAGTGAGAGACAAGTAACAGAGGAAAGCAAATCACATATAAAATACAAGAAAGCAAGAGCTTTTACACGTGGTTTCCTGAATAAAATCGAAGGGGCTCAGCAGCACTTTAATACAGCTGAAGTTACAGTGAATACCAGGGCCAGTCAGTTATTTAAGGACAGGAACTTCAGACTAACCTGTACTCACAACTAAGTGGGATCTAGGCATTTGTAGCTGCTGTGCTGCAGTTCTGCTGGACTGGAGGGAGGCCCAGAGACAAGCTGTCGCTGTGTGTTCCAGGTCTGTGACTGTACCATCACCTACACACTCTGCAAGAGAGGAGATGATGGCTCCTCCCCAAAGCACAACCGTTTCTGCTCAACTGGCCGACCCTTGGGGCGGGATGGGGGGGCTATTTTTAAGTACAATTCTCTACTTTGAAATCGGAGTCTAAATACATTGTCCTGTGGTTTCCTGGTTACATTTCAATAACCTCCTATGAAAATTTGATGACTATTTAAAAAAAAAAAAAAATTATCTTCTCTGCTTAACTTCTAGTGCAGGCAATTCAGGCTGGAATTAAAGTCAGATTTATTGTTTCTAGCATATGAATCAGTAGTAAAGATCCTACTGGCCCTGTTCTGCCCTCATTTACAGCTGTACAAATCGATCTTCAGTGGATTTGTAAGGGAATAATTTAGAACCTCCTCAGCAACTCCCTGTGACATCCAAGCTGCGGTGTCACCTAGCTCTCCCAGAGCTGCAGCAGCTCGGTAGCGCTGAGCTTGTCACTCCGCCAGCACTGTGACTACAGAAACAAGGAAGGCTGTTAAGGTGCCATTTTTATACCACCACTTTTCTTAAGGAAAAAAAACTTCACTACTAGTGTGAATGGAAGGTTCCAGAGATCAAAGCTGCAGATAACTACTGCTTTCAGAGTAACAGGTAACAGCAGTTCATGAAAGCATTTACCTGCAGAATGTGTTTTAATGCAACTACAAAAAGTTTAATGATTGGAGGGGTCAAATCAATAGCTGGAGATTTAAGGCTCATGTCAGCAGAAGCCAAAGTGATGGTGACAAAATGGACTACTCACTATGTGCCAACAAATAATTTACTTTTAGAAAAATATAATGATAAAAAGATAAGTGTAAAGCCCTGCAGAGATGAAGTTCCACCTTTTCCCCCTGTTACTGAGGCATTAAATGCCTGACATTATATTTAGAGGTATCTTGATACTGTGTCATAGGTTTGTCTGCAATTCCACAAGTTCCAACTCCAACCTTGCCAGTTACACTTTCAGGGGAAGCAAAAATACTCCTCTTTACCTGCAAATGAAACAGAAAACAACATTTCCGAATAATTACTAACTTGCTCAAAAAAAAACCAAACCAAGCAAATACTATCCTTTTAAGTGTTTCAAAATCCTCATGTTCTTAACTCTATAGACACTTTCTAAAGGCTACCTCATCCGTGAGATGTTACCAGCAAGGGAAACAACAGAGTTGGGAACTTCCTGGCGCTTAGGTACTGGATGTGATCGTGGTACTTGGGACCTTGGGTCAGGCCAATAATGAATAAAATTCACCTCTCGTAAGATGATCTCTAATAACTGTTCATAAGGAAGACTGCAGCTTTACCACAATGGCTGGCAGCTCTTGGTCAAGCCATGATAAAAATTAAATAAGGCTTTAAAATGTCCATGCTACCTTTTTTGCACTATGTTTGCTATTCCAGGGCCATGACAGCACTGTGTCTGCCACGTTATAACACAGCAAGAAGTCAGGCCTGGAGGTTTAGACAGGCCCTCAGGTTCTAAGCTCCAACAAACACTACCTGGCAACTGACAGCGAGTCCAGCTCTCCACGCGGAGTGCAAGCTCAGCCTCTTAAAAGCACTCTTTCAAAATCATCCAGTACAAAACCAAGCTTTGAAAGTGTTCAAAATACCAAACCACACACTCCAGAATCCCGAAGATGATCCCCCTCTAAAAACCACCTCCTTCTCTCTCCCAAACCACTGCATAGAAGTCTGTGCCCTGTTATTCACATACTGACAAAACCAAACCAACCTGGCCTTTTTTGTTTTTAGAATAGGCTCTATTGTTAAACTGTTGCCACTTGACTTTCTGGTCCTCTCGTTCCTGTTCAAGTTCTTTAATTCTCTGAGCCTTTTTCAAAGCTTTCTTCTTTTTATACTCTCGTTGCTGGGCTATCATCTCTTTTCTGGAAAGAAGGGAAAAAAAAAACATTTTATGTTTGTGTCTTTTCCTGTAAGACGCTAAAACCCCTGTAAGACAGACATGCACAGTAGTTTTCCGTGACAGAAAACAAAGCTTGCAAATATTCCTTACTTCCAGGAAAAAAAAAAAAAAAACAAACCAAAAAACCACAAGTCTTTCCATGCATAAGCATTACATTGCTTATTTATATATTTATGCACAAGAACAACCACCACCACCACTTGATTAAACCACGACAAATGCAGCAATCCATGGGACTGGGTGCAATTCATTTCTGAAAAGGTACCTATCAGCACTTCTACATTTCAGAAACATCTAGCTTTTAGCAAATATAAATAGTCCATTCAATTGAAAAGCCCAAACTTTTTCAGAGGTCTGCAGGACTCTCATGCTACCAAGTATTGGACAGGGATGGAAGGAAAAGAACTTATGTTAATTTAGTAAAGATAAGGAAGTTCAAGGTGTCAGTCTATGCCACAACACAGCGCCCCTCAGAACAATCCCTTAGGGAAGGGACCATTGCCTATAAGAAACTCTGAAATTGTACCACCTTTCCACCCAAAAACCCCACATTTTCAGCCCTTAAAAATACCTTTCTGTGTCAGACACAGCAGGATATGGAGTAAAGCACATCTCCCCAGAGATGGGGTCACCCCTGCTATCCTAACAGGGATGGGGCAGAAGCCAAAGTCCTTCATATTGGTGAGTACACTTGTCGTTAGCCAAACCACAGCTCTGAGAAGAGCCTGCACTAGATCTGGGCTGCAACTTGTAGGGTCTCTGCTCTCAATGAAAAAGTACTAACTTTTTTAAAATCTGCTGCTTATGTACTTGATATCTTGAGATAGCACAGTATGAGTAAAACAAAGTCTATCACGTTACCTTGCCAGTATACATAAAACACGATACCAGCAACAAAAATCGACCAAACATTATATGCTAGATTGATTTAAGATCCTTTTCAAAGCAAGCATGATATTAGAGATGTAAAATAATAAAAAAAAAGTAATTCATTTTTCTATTTTTCATCAATTTTTATAGCTGTGGAGAAACAAAAAAAAAATAAAACCAAAAACAAACCAAAAAAAAACACAAAAAAACCCAAAAAACAGCAACAAAAAAAAAAAAAAAAAAAAAAGAAAAAACACCAAACCCAACAAAGCAGCTTTCAGAATTCTGCCTGGGTATTACTTACTTGGACATGGGTTTGTTGCCACTGTCCTCTTTTGCTTTTCTTCCCTCTTCCACAGGCTTGAGGTTGAACAGAGGGGTAACTTCAGCATTGCCATATCCAGCAAATGTGACCGCAGCTGTTCCATTCTCCTCATCTATTTCTTCAATCTCAGCTTCATAACACCTGTAAAGATATCATGGCTGTAAGCATGTGAGTAAAGCTTTAATACTCAGCCCATCAACACCTATACTGTCAGCCAGCTAATGGCATTAAGTACAAAATTTGCAACTGTCAGACTTCATTTTCAGGGTTAATACACAAATCAAACAAAGAGGTTATTTTCTTAAGGTCAAAGGGACAAAAGTACAAAGGCCAGAATCTGCTGTATTTAACCTTTAGCATCAAGAAGCAATGAGCAATGGCCTCACAGTTATCAAGACTAATGATTAATGCTGGGGCCAACCTAATCAGGTATCTAGATTTGATTCTGGTTCTGGCAGGTCATAGTATTGAAAAAAAAGACTCAACAAAATACTGCATTCACAGAAAACAGCTTTCAGGGAATTCACTGAGGAGTTCTGGAAAATGTCAGCTCACAAGAGCAAAGCTTTGGTTCCATTTTCCTCCATATGAAAAAGAATTAAGAAAAACTGAAGGTTTCAAAATATTCCCTCTTGACACTTACAAAATTAAAAGTTCTCTTAATGATTTAAAACAGCAATTTTGAAATTTTGGCAGAAATCAGTCCATTTCATATTTATGTGTATGAAACATTTTGGTCAAACTGACTTCATAATGGGAAAGAGGAAGAAAAGACAACCGGCATTTCCAGAAATACTTAAAATAATTGAGTCTAAATTCAGAGCAAAGGGATACATCTCAAACAAACAGAGGACTTAGATGTTTCATAGACAATATTCTAGTTAACATTTACTAAATTAATTTCTTGTGCCATTTTAGTGGGCCAACAACATCCTGAGTTGAGCCAGATGAAAATACATGAAAACCCAAACTGCAGGAGGTAAAAAGTATTAATCGCTAGCTAGCTGTTAATGAAACACTGATAACTTAAGAAATGTTGCAACAGCAGCAGGGATTTAAAAAAAAAAAAAAAAGCAATACAGTGAAGTTCAGTGAGATCCACTTCAGTGGACACTCTGGCACATTCTTCCCCAAGCTCTGATCCTGTAAACCCAGAGATCAGAGCACAGAGAATGACCCAATGGTGACCTAAGACAAGTAAGATTAAATTTTTAAGTTCTTACATAAAAGTATTTGTCTCAATCTGTGACAGAAAAACTGCTCACTTTTAGGTTTGTTTTCTACCCAAGACATCAACAGATATACCAAAATCTCTATGCGGTTACTACATTGTTAACAGATCCACATTCGTTGAACAGAGCTTCTCTCTAAGTGGTAATGACTGGGATATTAGCCTCACATAAACAGTAATTTTTAAAAAGCTGCAACAGTTAGACATTTTGCAGTATGGAAAGTAATTTCAGAATGTTTATTTCAAAGATTATGAAGTCAGAATGAACTGCTCGGGTTCCCAAAACTTCACAGATTAATGTAATGGAGACTAAATCCAAAAGGTTGATTAAGTCTATAGTTACATTACACAGCTAGTTATTTCATAGCCAAAACAGAGCATTTCCAATTAAAAATTAATTTCCAATTAGAGGCACAAACTGAGATACAGCATGGATTTTTCTTGATGGCAATCAATTACATATATATATGAATGCAATGACAAATTATGAATTATACATCCTAAAACCTTTACAAAAGACTGCTCTGACAGTCCAGTTCATGGAAGCCTGCCATTTATTACTTTAGCAAATGGTAATTTACCGACACTACCCTACACTTTTACAAGGCAGGGCACTACTAGAAAATGACCCCACATCTCTTTGCTTTTTACCCAAAATACCAACCTTTAATAAAAAAAAGAGTACAATAATAGCTAATATTTGTGTTCTTCCCTAATTTCTTTTTGCTTTCAGTCACCCTAGGGGCAGTTCAAACTGAATGAAAGTCTCTTACCATTGAACTATTTCATGTAACTGTTAGAGAAGTTTTCTACACTTACTGTCCATCCTCACTCCATATCGCCATACATCTATCCCCAACCTTCCAGGAGTGACTGGGCAGAGCAGAAGCAGAACTGTCAGAACTTGCAAGAGTTTCTGAAGGTTGTGTTGAAAGGAGATCTTTGGTTAATTCTATGACTTCCTATAAAAGACAAAAAACCCCCACAGAATAATTTTTCAAACTCTGTTACCATGCATATTTTCACCCCAAGCTTACTGGTTTGGGTTTTTTGAAGTTTCTGCATTAAATTCATAGCTGATATAAAGTGGACTAAGTTTGTTTTAGTTTTTTAATCATTTAACTAAAATCACTCATTGCCAATGTAGATAAAAAGATATATGGTCACCACTGTATTGCAGTAAAGTTGCTCATGCCCTCCTCAAAACTTCAAAAAGTAGCCTATTATTTTTATAGCATTTCTGTCTAGATTTTTTATCAATAGATACAAAGACACAGCTAGACAGTCTCAATAAAAAAAAAAAACACAAGACAAAAAAACCCAAAACAACCAACGCTGTGACTCTGTACACATGGCTGCACATGATGTTGGTTATTGACCAAAAAAAAAAAAAAAAAAAAAAAAATCACAAAACATGTGACAGAGTAAGTATTCAGCAGGACAGTGCTGTGAAGACAAAATGTGAAAGGAAAGAATGCTTCTATTATCTCTGTAGCTAGCAGTTTCTTCCATCCCTTCCTCTTTCAGACTGGTTGGCTATATTATAGATAGTAAGCTCTAAAATACACAACAACTACAGTATAATTGAAGCATTTCTAAGTGATGAAACATTTTTCAGTTTACTCGAAAACGTGGATTGGCTGAACTGAAGCACCCAGAGCCAGGGTGGAAGAGTACCTTCCATAACTGCCACTCTGTAAAACCCTCTAATTTATAGAATGCATTCAGGTGCATACTAAAGAAATGGATTTCCTTAAGTCACTTTGATATAAGTGTTTGGTTTTCTCTAAATTCCCTGACCTTAATAAGATTTCAGGTCAGGCCTTACCTTGCTAATCCAACAAGACAAGTAACATTTTTTCCAGTTCCTTTAAATATTATTAATTCACAGACAGCTGCATGCAAAAGACCCTCCCCAACTTCCTGTCAATATCATATTCTTATTCTGCACAATCAAGACCACTGGTTTTCACTAGTGTTTAAAGAGAAAGGAACCAGCAACTAAAAGGACGTTTAAACTTTCTGTGTAAGACAAAGCCACTCTGCAGTCCTTAAAGAAAAAGTCTTCAGTTCTTTCAGTATCTCATCATGAACCACTGTCACTCTAACTAACAGTAAATATTTAAATTAGGGGAGGGTCACAGATAAACAATGTTCAACTGAGGCTCAGTGGAGCCTGAACTTTCCTCCCAGTTTCACATCCCAGTTCAGCTATGGGTATACAAAGACTAGCTTGGGAAAAAGCAGTAAAGAAGCTGTTCTTCATTCCTCAAGAACCTGAAGGCTCATAAGCAATTCCCAAATAAGTTAATACAATATAAACTTACATGCATTTTTATCTGATAAACTATACATCTGGCATGAATGGCCTAAGTTTGTTTCTGTTGCAGCTGTTAATGTCTGAATTTCCAACACCTTCCTAACAAAAGTTTCGCTCTTCATTTTAGAGGAGCTGCTAGTTAATAAGTGCAACAGTAAGCACAATTGGTTGCAACTGCAAGCACAGAAACATGCTCACAATTTCTTCTACTACTGTCGTCTCCATCTTCCATAGTACTACAGCTGAATCAGAACAGTTTTTGATTATCAAGTTACCTAATTTGAGGATGCACCGCAGAACATAGCATGAGCCTAATTTTTCCTCTCTAACTATTCCTCAACATATAGATAGCTGTATTCTGCAAATCCAAGAGGCATCATGGTTTGAAATGGGTATCTTGAAATGGGCAAGTCAAATACAATGTATCAGGCACAAGCTACCTGAGAATGTTTCGGCTATGTAGACTACCAGTAATAGGAAACTGTTGACTTACTCTTGACACGTAGTAGCCATAGATGGCTTACTGCAGAACTCCAATGAAAATAGTTTCAGACAAGTCTACCAAGGATTCTTTGAATTTGATAAAGTCACTTACACGCCAGGCTATAAACAGCAAACTTTTGGTTAAAATCTTCATCTGATATTCAAGTATCATGGCACACAAGATAGAACCATTCATTTTATTGCAACCCACGGGACGGTTCTAGTCTTCAGCAAAACAGATCATTCAAAGAAAATTTCCAAGCACAAGTTAGACTACCACGGCAGCTCAGTACAGCCAAATGGGTTGAACAGTATGGCTCGCTGCCATCTCGCTGTGACATGAAGGTGTGACCCACAGAGAACACTAGTTTGCCAAGATTCTTCCTGACCAACTGCTCTTTACAAAGCCAGACAGAACTCTACACTCCAGAACAAAACACCCACAGATATCATCTCCAATTACAGAGGATGACAGCTGCCATCAATTCTACTTGATACAAAAGGTAAGTTTGGTTCTTGGGTGCACGGACACTGTCCCAGAAGTGCTTCAGTGAAATAAAAAGTGAAAAGCTAAGTACTTATAACATTTTCTTCTAGTATTTATTTTAATCTTGTTACTCAGGAATAAGCTAAATATATGAAATGCACTAGTGCATCACTACTTACAACAGGGAAAAAAAAAGTTTCAATTATATAGTAGCAATCTTTTTGAACAGACAAAAAGCTGTTTAGTTGGCACACTGAAGCATTGAACCCATTTTTACAATTGTTTGGCTGGCATATATTAAGTCTGCAAAACAGTACGTCATTTTCAAGGTGGAACATATGGATAGCAAACCTTTTGGGGACGAAAGTGTAAAGATCTTCCCCATTCTGTGCAGAAAGCTTTTATAAAAAAGTCTGCAAGTTGTCCTTTCACATCAATGATCTCTGCATATCAAAGCCGAGGTCGTGTTGGTATCGGAAATATCATCCCATATGGGTTTTGCTGTGCATTTTAAAAATATAAAAATATACACATGCTTTTAACAGTGTACAACAAAGGACATTAAGATGATCTATAAAGTGCCTTGTGGGCACAAAGCCTTTGTAATTTAAAAGGAATTCTACAGATCACTGATTTGAGGCACTACTCATATTTTGGTTGAAGCATCATTTTTTATTGCTGTTATTTCCATACAGAATAGTGGTTACTGAATCTTGTACTGGGTAGTTTTATGTATTTTTAGATCGGATGGCTAAAGCAATCCACAACAGAAATGAAGCAGCATCTTGCACTCTCCTGACAAATTTTAACAGTACTGCTGGGTTTTTTTATATGCCAATGTGTCTGTGTCTGTATACACATAAGAACCTAGAGACCACTTATCAATTTCAAATTATGCTGGTGGTCTTCCTGTGACCAAACAATACCCTAAGGGCCAGAAATGTTTTTTAGCTCTTAAGAATGTGGTATGTTCTCAAATGTTTAAAAAAACTGCAGGTGGCAAATCAAGAACACAATTCTTTTCCTTTCTTATATAAAAACCTGAACACAATCAAGGCTTGGATGTACAAGGAATACAGAACTACACTCTAAAGCTTTTATCATTGCAAATGCATGCAATGAATAAACAGATTCTGGATCAAGTGATTTGACAACTCAAAAATAAGCAGAAAGGCACAATGTTAAGCTGAAGCATCAGGCTTCGGGATAGTAAAAGCAACAAAAAATAACAACTTTCTGAGAAATACTTAAAAAAAAAGGAAAGAAAAAGAGATAGGAAAGACAGCACTGGCATATCTTTCAGCACTCTTGTTAAAGATTTTAGCAGAAGAGTTTGCTATATAAATTAGTTCATCTTTTTTTACTAATCTACAAGACAGGTTTGAAATAGGCTGTACTTTGGATTTTTTCAAACCAACCCTACCATAACTGTATCAAATTATGTGAAAAGAAAGTAATAAATACACTAAGTATATATTTTTGTTGCAATGCAAATATTTAGGAAAGATAAAACACTTGCTAAAGACCTTAAAGTTTCAGCTACTCACACCCTCAAGTTCTCACCTGTAAGTCTTTCTTCAGTTTCAGTAAATCTTCATTTTCTGCATTCCCAGATAAGGCTGCCTCAACTTGCTGAAGCTGAGCTTTGTAGCTAGCTAACTGCTTAGCAAGGTCTTCTGACATCTGCAAGAAACATTCACACACATCACATCAAAACACCAGGCTTGCTGCTTTTGAATCACCTCTCGTGGTGCAAGTAAAGCAAAACCAATAAACATGTAACAAGAAAAGCTGTTAGTAAAATATTAAGAATATAACTCACAAAGTTTCAGTAACGCGCTATGTGACTATAAGTAGTCACTCACCTTAATTTTTGTAGTGTTCAACTGCTCCCAAGCAAGTTCAAAAAGAGAAAGCTTTTTTTGCGCGTGCACAGAGAAAACGCGTAACTTACAGTACGTGATCAGCGGCCCTTCAGGCGGCCTCATAATTACCCGCATCTCTGGCAAACTGCCGCGCACCGGTTTCCACCCCCGCGATGCCCCAAACCCGAGTCTTCACGTTTACAGCAGCGAAATCCTGTGCGGCGCCCTAGGCCCGGCCCCTCCCGGGAGCCAACCGCCCGGCAGCAGGGCCGCCGGAGCCGAGCCCGGCCCGGGACCAGCCGGACCGCGCCGGGAGACGCGGGGCACGGCGACAGAGAGAGGGAGCGGGGCTGAGGAAGGGCCCGCGCTGGAGGCTGGGCCCAGGCTCGGGGCCTACACCGAGGCCTAGGCGCGGGCTCCCTCATAGCGGGAAGGGCGAGGCCGCCGGGAGGCACAGCGCGGGGGGGTGGGGGTGGCGCGGCAGGCAGCCGCCAGTTCTCACCTCGGCGGGCGGGCGGGCGTGCGGAGCCCGGGGAGCGGGGAGCGGGGGGGCGGCGGGCGGGGGGCGCCGCGCTGGGTCCCGTCGGGCCGCGGCCGCTTCCGTCTCCTTCGCCGCGGGCGGGGCGAGGGCCAACGCGCGCGCCGGCCCTCGCGAGAGCGCCCCTGCCGGTCACGTGCCGCCGGCGCCCAGCAACGCGGTGGCCTCCGAGTCACGTGAGGGGGGGGGGGTGGTGGCAGGAAGGGAGGGGAAGGGCACGCGGTCGCCTCAGAGCCGCGCGGGGCTTGCGGCGCTCGCGCTGGCGCGGAAGGGGCCGCGCGCCGCTCCCACTCGCGGGCCTGACGCGGCATAAGCAAAACTCACTGCCACACAGTGTAGAGGAGAGTAAGTAAGATATTGGGTCCTACAACAGGAGAGGAAAGGGGAAGGAAAAGGTCAGTGGCTTCTTCGAGCCTGTCGCAGGAAGAAAAAGCTGTTTCCTGGTGGAAAGCCAGTCATTACCTTGGCCTTGAGCCTGTGAGCCAGCCAGTTGAAGCAGTCATCCGAAAGGCTTCTTAGTGTTACCGGGGGGATTGGTGTCTCCGGCAAACATCCTGCGCCTCGTGGTTGTCAGCGTGCAGGGCTTCACAGGAAGATACTTCACCGGGACTCGTGGGGTTTGTTTACACATTAAAGGAGAATTAGATCTACTCTGTTCTGCGGTACTTGGTTTATGGCCTCAGAGGGTGTCCTGACCCAGGATAAAACACATTCCTGTATCTTGGTGTATGATTTGATAATTAAAATAGATCAAATAGCAGACACTGTTCACAGACTGATTGATGAGGGCAAGTGTAACAATAGCAACAGTATCTTTTTTAGTATTTTTATTAATAATCTAGAAATAGATACAGAAAACATTTTCCAATAAGACTTCATGGACAGATCCATGACCGTTGAAAAGGCATACGAATTTATTGCTACAGTGCAATCTTAATGACTTTGTGAGTGTACCTGTGAGTTAAAATGCACGTTAGTGCGATCAATTTCAATTTCACATCTCAGAACAACAAATGTAGGCTGTGTCCGCAGGACTGATGTGATGGATAGGGACTGTGAAGGCATGCAGTGTCCTGGTATGTCCAAAGGCAACAACAGCAAAAAGGAGAACATTTCTGTGGTTGCAAGCACAAGGAGGTATTTTACTTCTATAAAAGTTTTGGTGAGAGATAATACTGAAATAGTGTGTATGGTTCTAGAGTCTGGAGTTTTATGGAGACTTCTAAAAAGAGCCACCAACATTTAATGGCTGGAGAGAACACCAAGGCTGAAATGCCTAATCTGTTTAGCTCATAAAGGAAGACTGAGAGCTGACTTGATTACAACATGTAACTAATTTAAAAGGAAAATAACACGAAGTAGTCAAAACATAAAAACATTGCAATACCCAGTACAATCACCTTTAAGAGTTTTGGGGGTTTTTTCCTCGTTTTTTTCAGCTCAGGGTGGCGCCTTTTTACATGCTATTTCAACACATGCTATCATTCAAACACTTGGTGTCATTCAAACACATGCTGCTACATATAGGAAGACAAGTTAGATCTTGAAACCACTGAAATTTAACTCTTATAAATTGGAAATTCTCATTAATTGAATCCTTAAAACTGGATTTGTCTTCACCCAGAAATAGAGATTTATTTTTTTTTTCCCTATGTTTGACTAAATAAGCTCTTTTATACTATGGGGAGAAACACAATATAAGCAGGACGTCTTCCTGCTATCTTACAGATTGCAATTTTTAAACAGTGTTTTACAGTTCATTAAATGGCAGGTGCTTGGAGGGATATCTACATAGCGGCACATTAGCGCTATTTAAAACAATATATATCCAGCTGTTGTCAAGATTTTGTTCTTTCTATATTTGTTAGGAGACCAAAGCAAGTTCAGGTACATTTGTGCTGTATCTGAATGTTTCTAGCTGCATCCAGTACTTTCATCTTATTCATGGGCAGCAGAGTAGCTACCAGAACTGTATCTCTTCATAAGTCCTTGCTTTTTATGAGATGTTTACACATTGTAGTGTGATATTAGAGTGTATTCATAAATTTGAGCCATATTATTTATAAACTACAGTTATATAATTACTACAACGTAATCAATACCATGTTACGGGACTTTATCATCTTTTAGCATACGTGATACATAGAATTTTAGTGTAGTTTATTGCCAAAGGAAGGCATGTAAATTTAAGACAGTATTTCCTCACAAATGCTGTAGAATGTGTTCCCCTACCTTAGTATCAGAAAGAAAAGGCAACTCGACCAGCTTTTACCTAAGCAAAACTCTGTTGCCATTATTAGCACTGAGGCTTTCAGCTGTGATTCCCAGTGGGAAGCCGTTTGGTGGATGTGACTGTACTTGGGGAACAACTAGAGAAAACTGACGTAACTGGGGACTTTCTCGCCATGCTGGTGCTGTGGGGCGGCGGGTAGTGCAGCGATAGCGCTGATGCTCTAGTGAATGGCACAGCTTGTTGAAAAGGTGAGGTTTCTAGTAACCTGTATAGCTGGGCATGCCTTGGGGCTCGTAAAGGGGCTACCTGTCTTTAAGGCAAACTAATTTACTGTTGGAAGAGACACTGGTGCATCCTACAGCGGTGCTTGGCTTGTCCAGGAGGTGGTAGTGGTGCTGCACAAGACGTCTGTGTCACCAGCCATGTTTAACTGGCAACACAGGAAACTTTGTTGTAGGTCCACGACTATGTCTCTTTTTTACAGTCTGCTGTGTTATTTTTATAGCTAGAGCTTATGGGAACGTAATACATATATATTATTTTTGAAGATAGCTATGACTATACAGTCTTTTGAAACACGTATGAGTTAAGGTGAATAAGGACACTTAAATCATCATTATTCTGCATTATTTAAATTAAAGCAGCTAAGGATCAGTTACTGGAGTGCTCAGCAACAACTAATGCCATGAAGACATTATTATATCCAAATGGTTTAATGCCCTGTTTTTCAACTTTGTATGGATGGATTGTTGTGCTCAGTATAGGAACCTAGTCACCAGCAAAAAATTGGCTTCCGCAGACAAAACAGTCTGTCCTCATGACAGAAATTGCAATCCAAGTCTAGTCCAAAATGGAGACACTGGATTTTTTTAGGCTTTTCTGCTAGGCTGCCTGCCTGGCAGGCATTGTCCTGTTCGTAGGGCAGTATGTCAGGCTTCAAAGGCATTGGTATATTCATTTGGATCAAACCATCAAGAAAATACTGGATTAATACTTCAATTTTGAGGGTTGTTTTCCTGAAGATGTGGGGGGTTTTTTCTTTCAGTTGACTTGTGCTTCTAAGCAAAATTGGCTTTGTTTTTAAATTTTTTTTTACCATTTCTCATCATGAGCTGAGCTGTCAACTTTGTCCATAGACTCAATTACATGGTATTTCCCATTATGAGGCATTTTTTTGTTGTTGCTCCTGCAAAAATTGTTTCTACAGGCTGAATATTTTTCTGCATTGGCTGTTTGTCTCTGGCTGAACTTTGGAGAGCTTCAGCATTTGGACACTTACAAAATCAAGTTATAGGAAGAAAAGCCAGTTTGCCAGGCACATGATTAAAATATACAGCTATTCTGTTGAGAGGTTCAAGTGCCTCTTTGTTTTAAAGCATGGGCTCAAAATTTCTTAGAGAAGTTCCGCTTCTTCTAAGGCTTCAGTTTTTGCTGTTCTACTCCTGAAATTTGGCCTAACTGTAAGGTTTTGAAATATCCCTTTACACAGAAATTTGTGTGGAACTGAAGTCAGTTGAGCGTGTGTACATTTCTGAACATAATTTAACTCTATACAACCCTGGTAGTCAACATGGATTGTGGTGCTAAGCAAAGAAACTGAGAGCTCAAACATGTTCTGTGCTCTGAATGATTGCAGTAATTATGTCCCGTCCGTGAAAAAGGCATGGTGACTCAAACTGAGGAGGAAAAGTGAATCAGAACTGGATGAGGAATAAGAGCCAGGGTGGGGCAGTGTGGAGATAAGGAGAAAATGTCAGAATTAGGAAGAATGGACCAAAAGCTTGCGTCCATTTGGACGTCATCCACTTCAGAAGGGTCTGAGGCTCTTGGATTTCCATTCCCCTGCAACTGACGGCTTGTGAGAGCTGACAAAATGCCAGCTTACGTGGGAAATGACAACCTGCCAGTGTGATCATTTACTTTGCTGGCACAAGCAGCAGGTCGGTTTGATGGGTCTTAATCAGGCCTACACAACATACAGTTTGTCAGATGGTATTTTCAGCTTAACGTGAGTCTCCGGTTGGGAGCAATATGCCAAGTCAAGGTGCGACTTCTTTCTCTGAGGCATTCTGCCATCTGCGTCAGGGAGCATGTCAGTGCTGGAGGGCTGGGGACTTCAGAAGGCGGCAGCTGGAGACGCTGGTTCTTCTTATTGGGGTGCCAGAAAGTCTGTTGCTGAGACTCCTGATGCTCAGAAAGGGTTAGAATGGCAGGAAAGTTGAGAAGATGAGGGAAGTTTGGAAAGTAGGGAGCAAGGGCCATGACAGTGGGCAGAGGAGCCTGGGAGGATTGGGAGAGGAGCTTGAAGCAGCGAGCCAGCAGTGTGGGAGGTTTGGGAAGCAGGAACTTGAGGTTAATATGGGAACAGCGTGGGGGTATTTTGTGTTTGTGTGTGGGGAGGGACCTGGGAAGTAA